AGATTATTTCGCATGTATACTCCAAAGTGTTCAATGAAGTTCATCCAAAATTCATTATTATGATGTGATAGGTTATTTAGTATATGAAGATAGTAGCAATTGACAGTATTTACAGCTTCTGTGATCGCAGATAGATTATCTAACTTTTCAAGATGTAATAAGGTTCTATTTCCACTATCAATGACATATTCTGATTCCACTATATATCAAAATTGCACGAGTCTTTCCAGTAATTGAAAATCACTACGTGCTGATATAACTAATTGTGTTTTTCTTTTTCGGTTGATATTCATGGTTGAAAAATTTATGTTATTTCGCAAGTCTAGGGCATGTCTAAGTTTTCTCCACTTATGTTTAAGATGTCATCACATCTCTCTTTATTTTATTGGCTCTTTGAAATCCAACCATCATCCAAAAGTAACCTACAAGTGATTGATATTATCACTGATGGATAGTAAGTCTGCATCTATTTCATCCACCTCACTAATTATATCTATATCGACCAATGTGAGAAAGTTTAAAGGAATCTTGGATAAATCGGGATCATTATTATTAATTTTTGCCTCTCGGATTAAGATTTCAACAAGTAAATCTCGAGTGGAAATATCTTATCGAGTCTTGTTTTTTTTAGATGACACACAATCTTTGAAATTGATGAGAATACTTGTCCATTTCCTTTAAGGTAATAGACTTTATCATGCGTGCATAATTCTCTGGTTCCATATTGGATTCAGTGCTAGTATTACTGATAAAAAATGTTAACAATAACCAAGCAAATGGCAAAGTAAAAGTCCAATATTCTATTTTTAGGTTTTAGATTACTTAGAATTGCATATTTTGCAGAGTGGACCAATTACCCTTGCCAAAGCACTGAGCCATCATCTCCACTTGGAGTATGACGATTATGACCCTGTTGAATTCCACAACTTGCCGAAGCAAACTCATGACAAGTAACTTAGGTAATTCTCCTATCAGCACAAAAACCCAACTCTCGAATCTAAAGATTCATAAGAATTCATAAAAATAAATATACTCTCAATAGATCGAATACAATATTAAGATTAGTAGAAGAGTTAGTTGCTACGTCTTCTAGTACGTGAGGATGTCCATTTTGTTTGTGTCTGTATTTACGTTCCTATTTAAGCCTTTTATTTTGCTATTTGCGGGCCTCTCATGATAATTTTTTCATAGCTGATGTTTCCTCCAATGTAGCTTCTTCTTTCTGCTTATTGGTCAGGTTACTTGTGTTTATTGTAGAAGTTAGTGGTGAGATAAAGGTTTGCAGTGTATTAACTAATAACCAGAGAAATCAAAAGCAATACTATTCGACGAGCCATCTCACAAAGTGAGGAGCCGATATCCTACTCAAGACGAATAGTGTATACTTTCATGAAAAAAATATGAGAATGTAATTGGTAAGGGTATGTATATGATGGTTACCCAATAATCTCCTGCTAATTTCTGGTGTGATCCATCTAATCAGAATAATTAAAAAACCAGAAAATTATTAACCAATCAGATCATGTCAGGATCGATATAGAAGTTCACAGAACATACATAGCCAAGTAATAGAAAGATAGCTGGTTTATTGATAATGCGTCATTCTATATCTAGGTCATTACATAATTTATTTCAGGAATGTACAACTCGATACTCAATCATATTCCATGCATCACATTAAGAGTGAAGCTCATACCAAGACATAGAAAAATTGACGTATAAACTTTTTTTACCCCAATACAAGACATACTGCATGAAAATATCGACATAATATATAATATTCTCAACTCGAATTCTTTATTAGCAAAGCCATGACTGATACAATAAAAATACATGTTAATTTATACAATATCTCTATACTTATCTATTATTTGATGGAAACTTAATGGTAGAGAGGTCCACTGTCTTTTTTAATACCTGGATTGGTGAGATCTTATTATAGTGATCGTGGTATTACTAACTCACCATTGTAAAGGGGCATATCTTCTTGAGCTTGTGGTAAACAAAAAGCTATATTATATAAGAACGCATTGACTTTTTCTACAATCTTAATAAAGATGTGAATATGATTTTGTAGAGACGCCTACAAATAATTCTATTAATTAACCAGAAGTTTATTTATCCAACTTCTCACATTCTATAAAAAGATGATAGCCTTACCCTTAACTCATCCATAAATCCAGCAAGTGAAGATTGGCCTCAATTCATAGGAATTTGCACTAAATCAAGATGTTGAACAAAGTAAAAGGCTCCAAATGGCATAGTCATAACCCAACATGCCATGGTTCTACCTAAAGTAGAAATGATTAGTTTTGAGTGAAAAAAATATAATTGTGATATTACATACCAACAACTTGGATATCAAAAACTGACATCCTGTTAAGATCTTCTTCTATTTCTTTTACGTCCCCAACCCTCCTTCTAGTAAGTTTCCTCAGTAATTGCACATAAGCATCTTTCATAAGCTTGATCAACTTATCTCAATCATCACAGATCTTTTTATTAATCGGAAGAATACGTGAGACCTCTATAAGACATATTTCCACTTTACCGGCAATCAGTAGAGATTTCACATGAAAATTGGACTTGTGTCCAATTCTGATTTCTCCAGAATTATTCATCCAACGTTGAGATGTCTCTGAGACTTCTTTGGCCCTGTTATGATGTATGTAAAACTTGTTATAGTCATTATGTGATCGCCTCTGGTAAAAATTCATATTTTACACATTATCTAAAACTTTACCAGATGATTTTAAGTTTGGTATTTTCATAGCAAAATAATGAATCAAGAAAGTTGGACACTATGCAGACGATATATGTCCCCTCAGTGTATTCAGCCTTGTTTTTATTGTTAAAGTAGTACCAGATATGTCAGCTATAAGAATAAGAATATTAGAAATTGGTTAATTATCAAGACAGAGAAGCTCAATTACCTATATTAAGTCTATGATCCTATGCATCACACATATATCTTCAAACTTCTCATCATTTCCTTAGAAATCCGCTGGTATAGGTGAGAGTGAAACCATTATTTCCCTTTTATTCAAGCTCTTTGATTTTTCTAAAAGGACTTTAATCAAGTCAGAAATAATAGGGCTTGTTTCATATTGATCATATGTCAAATTTATAATTTCTCTCAAATTCTTCTTTTGTTCTTCTGGCAACTTTTCAAAAATCATATCTGAGTTTCAATCAACAATACAACCAAAGCTGAGTGGATCATTCAATTCAATATTGCTGGTATTGAAGAATTCAAAGAGGTCTCTCAACTCATATAATAGTAATAAATAGGATGTCTCATTTCGGATTAAATCGTTCTACAGAAGTATCAAGTAAGAACAAGCAAAAAAACCATAACTCCCATAATACGAATGCGTTACCAATCATTTTTCAATTTTTTTCTTGTTCGAAAAGACAAGATTCTCCTCTGTTAGGCTTATGAATTTAAGAGAAACCTGAAACGTATAAAATATATTAGTGTCAGTAATAAGTTTTTCTAAAGTAAAATTATAGTAGTTCAGTCAACCATTGATTTTATAGCCTCTATTGTTAATATATATTGCGTTCTTTGCTTGTTCTATAAAAATAGAGGAGTCAATATACGAAAATTCTATATTCTGCTTATTATTCAACACTCTTATTTAATCAGATCTCCAATTTTTTCATACACCACAAATGACTATCAGGGCCCAAATCTCAGGTGTGAGGAGGTGGTATAAAATTGATTCTCAGAATAGATGGAATATCATCATATGAAAATACTATAGATGGGATAAAAAATAATACATATATCAGAAATCTTGGAAAATTCTTCATAAGTATCTCATAGAATATTACTAGATTTGATAGAATAACATAAAGCTTTCTCGCAAGCCAGCTTATATATTTGAAACGTATCACTCATAGAACTATATCACCCACTATTTGCATTAATTATATAACCAAACCATGAAGTGAAGCATACTTTTCTGACTTTATCACAATTATTCTCCAAATACTCAATACCAAAATCCTTCCAACTGAGGTATTTATAATCCTGCTCCATTTCTGTATGAAGTTTAGCAAATATGAAATTGGGATAAAAACAATTATAAATGAAAATAAAACTATACTCTCCTTCTAAAAGAATCTGCATTTTTTCTTTCTGAAAGCGTTCTTTACAAAAAAAATATTCAAATCTGGTTTTTTGTGTTAGTCAGAAGGTTACATGATTACATCATGCATGAAAAGTTCCATGACTTTTGTTTTTATTCTGTGATATAGCATGTGATGTGTTGATCGAACATCTGTATTATGCAATTAATCAGTACCCCAACAATTAACAAGTCACGCATTAACTCTAGTAAAAGTGATTGGCAAATCTGGGAGATACTTTTTGATACTTCTATTATTAAAGAATGCAGATTGAAGGTGAGTCTATTATAAAAAGAAATTAATTAGGTTAGTTAAAAGATCAATTGATTTGTAATAATTGTTGAAGTTGATGATACAAGTAACAGATGTCTGATTGTTAATGTCAATAAGGTAAGAGTAGACAATTATTAATCTAATTGACAGGTAAAGCGTGGGGGTACCTATGATTCTTATTTGAAAAAATATACCTGAATCATCCCTATAGGCCTGCTTTGTAATAAAAAGTTCTGGCAATTTCTGGTCCTTTCCTATCCAAGTCTATAAATAAATTCTGATTTGTAATTTTTTTATATAAAAAGGCAAAGAAAAAATATCTGAGATCCCTTTACTTCTTCATTATAATAATTAGTGATTTTGGAGAATAAAACATTTAACAATTCTTAGTACTTTGCTTGCTCCGCTAATAAATCTTACCCATGATAAATAAAAAGATTCATACACTTGAAATAATATCTAATTTCTAACGATTAAGGTTTGTTTATTTGTTTATATGCTATGATACTCTCCTGCATTCGTGTATGTATGCTAATATGACCAATTTCCACTTATAGATGACATCACTTGCTATTTTGGGGATCACTCCATTTTTGGATTTCGCAGACCTATCAATGTTCATCAAGAAAATCTCCATTTACTTGCTCATTGGTGTCATGTTTTATTTTTCACGTATCATCAAGAAAGATATCAACATCAAGCATAATTCTGACCTTTCTGTACGTGATACAACATTTAATGAAATTCTTGCCAATTGCGATGCCAAATTTAATGCTGAACTCATCTCACGTGATGAAAACTTTACAGCAGAGATCCAAAGAATCTTGACAATACTTAATACTTCTACTATGAGACTTGATGAGATCGAACAAGTTCTTCAAAACTACCATAATAATTTTGGCAGAGTCGTAACTGAATTTGAATCAATCAATGCCTCTATCGTAACTCTTCAAAGTGAAATAAATTAACATTATGCGATGATTCTAAGAACTGAAGAGATTGAATTTGATCAACAAAGCGTGATGAGTCAAGCTTTCAATCATTTCACAGGTCAAGCTTCAAATTATTCCACAGGTCAAGCTTCAAATCATTCCTCTGCAAGCTCGGGACAATTAACATTCACGGATATCAGTTTGACCGTCTGGAATCAATTTAAGCAAATTTTTGATCGGATCATGACCGAAAATAATTATACTTTGGAGGAGATATGTCTTTCTGTAGCTATGGACATTTGTTCATTGGGAGGAAATATTAAGAAGGTGACAGTACAAGGGTTTTATGAGAGAAATATTAAAAAGAAGAATAGTTATATTAGTACTTTAGATCAAATTGGTTTATGGATCGTGGGAATTGTATTTCAAAAATCTTATATAGTAAAACAATATGACGCAGGGACTCGCATTAAATGGTCTAGGATCCACGTACTCCCTCCCTTGAAAGCATGTCATATTACTCTTAAAATTAGGCTTTGAATTTTTTACGTGAAGTATGTAAGCTTTTATTATATATATTTCATAAACTCTATTTGATGAATACATTAGTATTTTTCTGGATATAGTATTTCACCGATTGAGACAGAAAGGTCACGGTGTTTTTTTCTGGATGATATGCAAATACATTGGTCTCCAATACTTTACTGGCTTCTTTATAATTATTGAAAAATTTCATAAACGTGACAAAGCTCAACTCTTTAGATTCTAATAAAGCTCTGATTATTTCTTTTCCTACTTCATGATGTGATTGTTTTTTGAGGAGTTGTGCAGATTGGAATTTCTTCTCGACTTTAGTTAAGATTTACTATCTAATGACTGCAGGAAAGAGTTAGTAAAAAGTAAATTAATCTGATGCAAATTAATAAAACCAATTCCTACCTTCGAAAGATTATCCAGCCAGAAAATCATCTGCCACAGTCTTCAACTCTACAATTCAACCACCAACCAATTCATATAAATTTTTCGCTTCTACTTCATTGATCTTGCGCTTTTTAGTCAGGTATTCTATTGATTCTTCCTTACTAAGGTCACCGATTTCCATCACTGGTTGTTTCGCACGTGACCAGGCACTACATGCTAAAAATAAGAATTACAATATGTAAATAATACTAATTTTGAGAGCACAAAATAATATTGGTACTTACATTCCATTCTTCTAGGCACCGAACCTTCACTGCTGACAAATACAGTGATGTACTTTCTGTCATCAGCATTATCCTTGGCATCATCTTGAAGAATATCTAGGATTTCCAGATTTTTATGAACTAATTGGCTAATATTATTGTAAATGATAACTGGTGGTTTATTGTGTTTTGATTTGTACACTTCACCAGCACGCTTAAAGGCTCTCATAGCTCTCTTCCATTTAGAAGTCTCGGTTTTATCTATAAAAAGGAAATTAGGTTAAAAATGTCGATTAACAATAATTAAGTGCTAGCAATAATACCATATTACCTTTAGTTATGCCCAAGATTTTTCGTCCTAATTATTCTGTAATAGAAATATTTTCTTCAAATGCAAAATTAATAGCTTTTCCAAAAGCTTCGCCCAAGTCTTCGAAATCAGAAGGAATGTCAACATATACAACACCATCCCCAACTTCACTCGATGCAATCCTTGTTAGCGTAGTTTTCCCAGTTCCATGTTCACCGCAAACCATATAATAATATGATTGATCTTCATAGGGTTGAAAAATTCTTTTTAGGCGTTCTACAATTTTAGGTCGAGGAATAAACTTGTTACTTGAAATTCCTGTTCCAGGTCGAGTGCCCTTTTCCACTGTTTCGTTGAGAAGACGCTCATTACATCTATTTTGGTACCAAGCGTACATAAGATCCACCGATATAAGACCAGCGAGGCCAGTTACAATTATGTTCATCAATATAGTAGTCTACAAATAATGAAAAGGTGTTAAAAAACTTGATCGAATAATGTATAACAAATAACAATAAATCTCATACCGGGAGCCGTTTTACAATATATTTTGTAAATTTGTTCAGGTAGGATGATGTAGACTCTTTGGAAGATGTGTAGGGGGAAGGTAAAGAGTTTGCGTAAGGTCTCGAAAGTGATGATTGAAATAAGTCAGGTCTCAAGTTCCTCAATATAAGACTCGGTGACTGAAGGAATCGTACTTGATAGTTAACGAAGTGAGTTGGAAAAATGGTCCTATGAAAAATGTTGAGTTATTTTGGAGGAAGACATTATTGAAGAAATTAGTGGTTAAAAGAAAGACGAAATGACGATTCTTTCCTTATTTATGTTTCGATCACAATTACACAAAAATCACGCGATCCGCAATTGCCAATTTTTCTGAGGTTCTATTTGCAAGAACATTAAGTCTCCATGGCATTGCTGTAATGATAAGATAAGCTTAGCTTTATCACATTTTATCATTCATATATACTAATCGACTTTTATGACGAGACAAAGCTAAGTTGATGTACTAGATGCATCAATTATGCGATCAAGGTAATGATATTATTTTTCAATAATCTTTGCTTTTGCTGATGATTATGAAGTATTTAAAGTTTTGAGTTTATTCAATGAGTTCTAGCTCTCAAAGATGATCTGGAATGACTAGATATGGATTCTCATAATACCAAATATATCTTAGAACAACCTAATTTTCTTCGCAGAGTTCTTTTTTGATCTGATCACGCATTAATTGCTTCTCAAAATCTTCCTCATTTTTGTGAAAATATTTTATATGTTGCTCGTACTATTTATCTTGTACTTCTATGGTGAATCCATACTGTGGATAGTAGATATCAAGCTCTAGTCCTCGAGGATGTTCAGGTGTTTTCAGAAAATCTGGTCTGCAGATGTTGGAAGGTGAATCAAGAATATTAGTTATGACTTTGCGACACAGATTTTCATGCTTATTTAAGCAATATGGACATCAAGATTTAATATGCTTAATACTATTAAAACTTGCAAACTATTTATGCCCTTTATCACACATTCATTACATCAGAACACAGAGATTTATATATTCTGTTGAAAGACACTTACCTCCTCTACTGTGAGCAATTTCCTTAGCTTCCAGAAGACTACAAGGAAAATTACCAGCACATTGTGAGTACCATCTTCCCATATTTTTTATTCGATAAAGAGTCGTAGACCATTCATGGCCTTTGATGCATCTCCAAAACATTGGAGTAGTTGCATTAATATATTCTGTAGAAAGGCATTTACCACCTCGTTCTTGTGCAATATTTTTTGCTATATCAATATTGAGAAATTGACACTGTCAATACCAAGTTCCATTAATAATATCTTTTGCTGAAGCCTTCCATTTATGACCTTCTTTACACTGCCATTCAAGAGAATCCTGTCTATTAATATATTTAGTTGCAAGGCAAAGACCTCCTTTTTTTTCTGCATGCTTTCTCATATCTTCAATTGTTTGAGTACGATGATTTTCAACTGCACATCACAGGCACCATATTTTTTTGTACCTTATACAATCAAGAGTTGTAAACCATTCATGGCCAATGGCGCATTTCCAAAGCATTAGAGACTTATCATTAATGTATTTTTCAGAAAGACATTCACCTCCTTTATTATATGCAATCTCCTTAGCAATCTGTAAAGATAATTTAATTCGCATTTATACTTTAACTTATATTTATGCCAATTCTTTAAAATCTTGGCAGATTTTCTCCCTTGAAATCCTGCTTCTCTATATTTTACTTAGCCGACCTCTAACTCTCAATATATTTATTTTTAAAAAAAAATAAAGATATGATTAGTGCCTGATCTTTTAATTATTGTATACTAAGTTGTCTTTTGTTTCGCTGACATATAATAGAGTATTAAGTCACACTAGGAAATTAATTAGTATACATGTAACAATCATCCCAAAGGGGTGAATCTTTAGATTCATATGGATCTCTCCCATTCTCATCATTATATCACTCACAAATATGACGAATATACACAACTCATCTAATAACTCCAGGCCCTATGGGGGCTCTTCGAGATCCGCACTAAAAATAAATCATATATTCTTATACTATAAAGAATCAAAACTAATAGGTTCAAATCCCTAAATTCAATATAAATCACTAATTATGTCAGGTCTTATTATTACAACTATTATTGATAAAAAAGCTAAATCAATTAAGCTCATTAATAATCATCCTGGATATGATATGAAATATATAAAGTCATATATCTACAATTATTGTGAAATTAATAATTATCAATGATACTTTAATGATCTTTATGAGACTGAAAGACGATATGATACTTTATCAGTTATTCAACCTGATGAAACTTCACGACAATGGACTATTTGGGTTAGAGTTCCTTTACAAGAGTTGGTTTCTGAAAAGAAAAGAAGTGTATATCATGTACATTGTTTATTTGATGGATTTGGGAATTCTAAGCTAATGAATCATGATTACTACAGGCCTAGAATCCATAAATCCAATGTAGTGATATGTTTAGATTGTATGAAACTTATATATATTGATAATGTAAAACCAAAGAAATCATTCCATTTTACCAGAAAAAGGTATATCAAAATTATTGAGCCAGATGATTTGATGCAGAAACATTGGGATCATGAATATGATAAACCTAAATCTCAAGATGGATACGCAAGAATTATACAAAGAGTATTTTGCCGATTCCAAGAAAAAGAGCTATCAAATGCATGACTTGCATAGAATAACTTATCGAATGATAATACTCCAGATGATAAAAAGTTTTTAGATATAATTCTGCAAAAAATAAAAAACCCAAATTCTCTAGATCAATTAAAACATGTCTTAATAAGGAATATGCTGAGTATATAAAAAAATATAATAGATATCTGTATAAAGCTGAATTTGAAATTAGTATGTATCAGAAATATATTATTCCATATGGTTGGATAAATCATAAAAAGGAATAATTATGATATAGATTTAGTAACTGTTTCCAACAATTAGAAATATAAATACACATATCTATTTATTTGATTAATATATCTATTTAAAATAAACTTTATTTCATTATCCCCAAGGACTAATAATATTTTTTACTTTAGTTTTATATATAGTTATTTTATCCAACACAAAAAATCCTTCAGTATAAATAAACTATAGAATTTATTTATTTTTTCAACATCTACTCCAACTTCAATCAGGCTGGATACTGATAGCTATTTCATTTAAAAATAGTAGTGAATAAGATGCTGAAAACATCTGCCCTGATTCCAAATCGACTGGCTATGATCATTTTATCAAAAAGTGGTGGATGGGATGTATTTATATTGCTGTATTAATAAATAATGAAAAAAATAATTATTATCTTATTACCGTAAATTACGCTACTCATTAGAAAGATCAAGAGGTTGGTCTCATCCTTTGCGAAGATATAGAGGGTCTTCTTTTACTCTAGTTAAATCGATAACAATAAAATCTCTACCTTGCAAATTTTTATCAAGTATATCGATAATATTGTGCCATTTTTTTGTATATCATCAGGCAATGTTAATCAGCTCATCATATATACCACTACCATTAAAGAGAACTATATAATCAAGATTATTTCTTATTAATTTGGGACAGTCAAAGAAAGATTGTGTTATGTATATGTTAGAAATATTACGATGCTTCCCTTCAGCAAAATAACATGCAATTTTTTTTTGAATTTTTTTAGGTTTGGTACATACATCTTCGAATACAGCTACTATTCCTCTCTCAGAAGAAAAGTCATCAATCTTTGGCATTTTATCAGGTTTCATTGCTCGGAATGTAATATCTTCATGATGTGGTTTGGAGCTATTTACAATTATTTTATAACAATCTCAGAGATGTTTATACTTGGACTCATTAATTTGATGACCAATCAAAACCAAATCATCATTTTTAATATATCTCGTTCTGTCTTTTTTCTCACTAAACAATTAATACATTTTATTTTCAAGTAAAAGGTTGATAACTTCGTTAGTTTTTTCTGATCTTGTTCATCCACTAATTAATAAATTGAATGGCCATTGAGGTGTATTATTAAGACTATTAAATCTCTCTATATTTTTGTATTCGTCAATATTCAAAACCATCCTTTTAACAGGGTCAAGCTTTTCTATTTTCATTCTGATTGGATAAGTCACTAATTATTATATCCAAAAAATATTAATCGAATAAGATAAGTATTTAGAGTTTTACCTTTATTCACATCTAAGATAAGCGCTTACAGATTTAATTTTTATCCTGTAAATAACCTTTCTCAATTAAAATGTTTTGAATAAATTCATATAAATTAGCAGAGTAAGGAATTTCAATGAGATCTATACCTCGCTCTTTGCATATATCCCACTTTTTTTGATCACGCTTTCTTTGATTATCTAGATTATCTTGATTTTTGTGATATAAACTATTATGATGGTAGTGTTGAACATCCTGGAATTCGAATACTAATTTTAATTCTTCATTATACCCATCTAATTACATTCCATTCAAAAATGATGGTTTACATGATGAAAATTTCTTACCTAATAGATCTTCAAAAATATATCTTATATTTCTCTCAGTGATGTGATGACATAAGAGATACCATTCAAACTTCATAGCTATTAATGGATATAGGTACTTAAATTGATGTTTACCATTCTGACATGACCAAAGGTATACATTCTGATCATTAATTCGACCAGTTTTAGCTAAAATACTTCCATCACGTTTCTTGGCATATTGTTAGATCCTGTCAAATTCACTACTAGAAACATGAATGAAATGTATCAATCCAAAAGGGTGATATTTTTATATAAAATTATCAGGTGAATATTTGATTTCTTCAGGATTTTCTATTACTTAGAGTTCTTCTCGCTTGAATGGTCAATATGGGTTACATCCTATCAAATGAGTAGTAGATTCAATAGGCTCATCTTTGAGATAGTATAAGACTGGCTGTGATAGATTCCTTCCAATAATAATCTTTTTAATTCAATAAACACGCAATGAGAAGTATAGATCAGTTTTCCTATGAACGTATCCTCCTTCCAACTCATCTGATTTTAATAAATATCTTACAATCATTCTTTTTTGTAATCGCAGTTCATCTTTCTCAATAGGTCTTTTAGGTTTGATAGTTACTTTGGGAATCACTTCCCACAATATCATAGCATGGTCAGGGCTCATACCAATTAATCGCATTTTATTATTATTTATATAGTTGATAATTTTCTGAAGTATCTTTTTCCATAATTTTGAGTGTTCACCTTCTTTGAGTTTTCCTTCTATAGCATATTGAATTTTATATATAAGTTTTGCCAAATCTTGTTTGAATTTTTTTACTAATGCTAAGCTTTCAAAACTATAAAGATCTACAACTTTTATAGGAACATTATAATATTCCATC